GCAGCAGGGGGCTGAGGCTTGGGATGTGAGTGGATGGCAGAGGACACAGCTGTGCTGTGGTTGTGGACTCTCAGGGATGACAGGGAGGGCTGTGTGCACAAAGTCAGATCCAGTGGAGAAACCACCTTCTCATTGCCTATCACAGTGAGAATTTTGCAGAATTGTCTTTCAGAAGTTTCTAGAAGTAGGTGGTGAGGGGCATCCTGCTTGGAGGAGTCCACTCCCCCTTCCCAACATGCAAGTCTGGGTATAGGATGGACAGCCACAGCATAGGAGTCCTGGCAGAAAGGAGCTATGGGAGACTCAGGATGGGGAAGGTGGCCTCTGACTCTCCCTGTCCCCAATCTGCCCACAGCATCCTTTGTTCTGTCTTCCCCATGTGGAAGGACTTTGCCCCTGATGATTTTTATGCACACAAGAACAGAAACAATCTGAATGAACTTATGCACTATCAAATGCTCAACATGGCCTCCTCAGACCCGCTCCTCCACTTACAAGTTCTTTAGAGCATTTGGAGGAGCCCCTGACTAATCAGAACAAGGAAGGGAGGGAGGAGTCCTTGTGTAGCCTCCTGAGAGCTTGTGATAGGGATGGAAACAGGGCCCCTAGCGATGGTCTTCCCAGGCTGGTGATTGGCGGGGAGCTCTTAGTACTCCCCAGCTTTGCAAAGTGTCTTTTGATAGATATTCTCTGCGAGGCAATGTCTACTCTCAATTTGAAAGCACTCAGTCATAGCCATGGGTGAGGAAAAGCCCTGTCTTCTCATCAAAGTTCAGTCTCAACTCAAATGCTACAACTGCCTCCATTACATCCTCATGGCAGTTGAGTCACACCAGAACTTCTAGAGTTCACTCTAATACTCATGTACCTATTTCCATTCCCAGATTTTTGTCAACGTAATGCAGTCCCTCCTGAACCCATGCTAACGAAGCCCCCAGTGATGTCCATGGTGATGACAGGTAGATATCTGGAGCCATCATTGCACTGCCCCAAGCGTGTGGATGGAATGTGCTTATTTTCATTTGTAGAAGGGCCACAATAGGTTTTGATTTCTATGGACACCCTATGGAACCAGTGTCCAGTTGAGAACTCAGGAAGAACATCTTGCCTTATGTGTGGTGGTAGATTCCATTGTGCACTCTGAATTAGCCTTCCTGCCTGCAGGCAACTTGGAACAAGGTCTAGTGTTAGATCTTGCCTCCCTCCTCCCTGAGCAAAGCCTATTTTACTTTTTTTCATGATTTACTATTTATAGTTTTAATGGTATTAAAATGTCCATGTTTACATGATGTTGTACAATTTTGAATACAAAAAACTGTGGTCTCTTCTACCTCCAATCTGATATCCTGGGCACATGGGGCCTGAGTGGGAGGAAGCAGACTGTGCTGAAATAGGACCCTTGATGATGAGAGACAAAACTGTGTTATATCAGAACAAGTACCTTTGAAAACTCGTCCTTCTTGAATCTCAAGCCCCTTCTCTTACTAGGGATAACTTCCCCTTTCCAGCCAGTCGGGTAAATGTGTTGATGTTTGAAGCTCTCTGCCAACAATGAGCCATTCTGCACTGTGCAAATAGAGAACATATAAATTTTTAAAGCAAGAGTTAAATATGTGCTGCAATTTTATGCTCTTAAAATGGTCCTTGCTTTGGGGTTTGCATGAAGATTTGCTAAGTCTGCATGAGGGTTTTCATGGACTGTAAGCGATCAAGATGACACAATAAAAGACCCATGCCTGCTTTTGGAGAATGGGCTGGAAATGAGCTTGCTGCACATATTAGCTTACCTGGGCTAGGCATTTTTTCCTGTAAGAAGTTATTTTGGCTGCCTTTTCCCATTCATTATATCAAAAGCTACTACCTCTGACATGTAAATAGATGAACTTTTATGTAACATTTAAGAAAATCTGAGGAATATTTAACAGTATTTGGAAAAGGGTGTCTTTTGGGGTAGCCAAAATTTTATTTTGACCATGTTGTCATTGTTCTACTCAAACAGATCAATGTGTCTCTGTATACCAGGTTAGGAACAGTTCTGAGTCTCCCTGTCTAGAAGCACAAGTTCTATGAGTCCTTGAATTTCATCTGCTCTCTATCCCATGGCAATCAATTCTGAGAGGAGGCCTGGGCCTTGCAGTGTGGCAGAGGTGCATGTGCAGAGGGAACATGGCTGGTTGGCATGCTGGAGTGGGAAATCCAGAAACTCTGGCAATCACCAGTTCGGTGAAGAGTACAGAGGGTTTAGGAAGGGACCGAGTGAAGAGTGTGCGTGTAGGGGACATGTGTGCCGAATGGTGGTGCTTGAACTTAAAAGCTGGCCACTGTCCCTGAGTTCTTTCACTCAAGGCTAGCACTCTAGCACTTTGAGTTACAGCTAGAGATAAGAATTTGATAGCATTTCCTGACCTAGCTGGCTTTGAACCACGATCCTCAGATCTCATTCTGTTCACTAGCAAAGAATATAGGCCTGAGCTAGAGACACTGTGTTCATACCGTGTTTGTGTATAGCTATTGGTGGTAAAGAAGACTCATTTACTCAAGAAATAAAAGACAATGAACGAGGGAGATTGTTGATGAAAATCTGCATGTCTGACAGAAGACTTGGGTAACATTGTGACAGGAAAAGCTAAATTCTAGAATTGGGATTATTTTCTGTATTTACTATATACGTCATTTACATATAATATATAATATATATGGCATAATATACTATATGATAATACATATATTTGAATGTATTTTAAAGGAGGACAGGCATATGATATTATGGGTCTCGAATATATTGTTTAACAAAACATTAATACAAGAGCTGGGAAGGTGGCTCAGTCCAGAGCGCTTGCCTTTCAGGCATGAGTCCCTAGGTGCAATTACTCAGCACCACATAAGCAAAAAGAAAATAGCCGGAAGTGGTGCTGTTGCTGAAGTGGTAGAGTGCTAGCCTTGAGGTGAAGTGCTGAAGGACAGCGCCCAGGCCCAGAATTCAGGCCCCACAACCAGAATTTTAAAAAACCAAAAACCAAAAAACAAAGAAACATGAATATAAACACATTATTGGGGAAATTATTGATATATTTGTCTCAAGTCAATATAGTTAAATTCGCAAAATGCTGTTGCAAAAAGGGGTCATGTGCTGGGTGCTGGTGGCCCACGCCTATAATCCTAGCTACTCTAGAGGCTGAGATCTGAGGACTGCACCTGAAAGTCAGCCGGGGCAGGAACATCCATAAGACTCTGATCTCCGAATAAGTGCCCAGAAAACCGGAAGTGGTCCTGTGCCTCAAGGTGGTAGAGCCCTAGCTTTGAGCTGAAAAGCTGAGGGACAGGGCCCAGGCCCAGAGTTCAAGCCCCACGAACAATCCCCCAACCCCCAAAAAATATGCGAGGGCAGGTAATGAACTGTTCATATGTAGCTCAGGCCCGTGATCCTAATTAATCAGAAAATTTGGTTCTGAGTTTTAGAGGTTCTACCTTTGTAGCCAGGGGCACAAAGAGACGTGCAGTGGAGGATGGCTTGTGCCTGTGCTTGGATGGGAAATCCAGAAACTGAACCGCCATTGCCACAGTCAAGGAAAGATGAGGCTGAAGAAGAGCAATGTCCATGCTGGGTCGGAAAGTTCCACGAATCTCTCATCTCCAACTGACTACAAAAAGCTCAAAATAGATCTGTGTCTCAGCTGGTAGAACACTAGCTTCGAGGAAAAATGCTCAGGGATAGGGCAAAAGGTCCAAGCTCACAAATGCACGCGTGCGCACACACACACACACACACACACACACACACACAAAAGCAGTGTAACTATTGTATCTTAAATTCCTATGCAGAGATTGGACAACAGCTCAGCAATGTGTGAAATTCCTTCTTCCCGTTTGTGTTGAGGGAGGAAGAAAGATAATGGGACACAGAAGCAAAGAATTCAGATGCAAATAACTATATAAACGATTAGCTTGTAAAAATGAAAGGAGCAGTTTCTACCTTAAATATTATATTCCTTCGAAGCTATAGTAAAACCAGTCCTAGTCATCATAAGAAGACAATGCAGCAGCTCTTCCTTTCTCTGCTTGCCTCCATGAAATATTGCAAGTATAAAAAATAATTTTCTCAGTTACAAAAATGAACACCTGTAAAAATGGCTGATTATATGTGTAATGAATGTTTTCCAATACATCTTTGATTTTCCCATCTCTAAGTATTTGCATTTTTTGGAGAAGACACCACAGAGGGGTTCCAAGGACAAACAGATTAGGCTACAGAAAGTCAACAATGACCTAGGATGTAGATGTCAAAAATATGTGCCAGAAAGAAGGCCCTGAGAAATCAAATGAGTTGAGCCAGATGAGAGGAATAGTGACAGATAGGGCATGAATGTGACCTAGGAGTGACTCCTGGAAGCTGAGAACAAGCCAGAATCTAGGGCTAGCAGATGAGGATTGGACAAACAAGGTGTGCTGTTAACTTGTCTACATGTACACATTGCAATATTGGGTGGATGGGAATATTTCTTGTGTGAGGAAGCAGCAGAGCTCATTGGGCCCTGACAGGTGACCCTGCCTCCTTCACAATGGAATAGAACATGGAACCCTGATAGCAGGCCACGGTAACTCACAGTTGGCTCAAGCCAGCTCACTTGGCCTGTGACTCCGGAGCCAGAAACATGTTCTTGTGCTGTATTCGCAGGTCTCGAGACTCTGGTCTCAGCCAAGAGAAGGATGGGTGCCTCAGTCAAAGCTGTAGACACTGGATCAGTGGCAAGCCACGAAGCAACCATCTCAGAGATTTGTCCAAAAAGAAACCTAGGAAATCACAAGGCAACTCAGGCAAGGTATACTCATGATAGAAAACCTACTTAACCCCAACCTGGTCCACAGTAGAACCTTCTTATGTGATTTAGGTTTACTGAGATAATACTGTCTGCATAGTTTTCAATCTACTCTATCACAATTACTCATTTGGAAGTGTTCTCATTTCCATGGTTTTTTTCTGATTCTTTGTCTCGCCTTAGTGTGCTAATACATCAGCCCTGACCCTGAATGTGCCATGCGATATATTGAGCCCGGAGGCAGGCCTGCTGGACATGTTGGTGATGAACCTGGTCCCTGCCTACCAGAAAGGCGATCTCTTCTATGTTGGAAACTTCCTCCACAATTATAGACAGTGGGCAACAATGGAGCAAGTGCTGGATATTGTGTTCAAAAAGTGAGTGTTCCCCCTTCAAAACCGGGACCGTTCAGCTATTCCTGGCTGAGTTGTGGAATACTTGGCACCCCTCTGAACCTGTTGATTTCATGGGGGTCTTCTCACAGGAGCTTGACATGAGACAAGAAAGTGCATACCCTGCGTAGTTTCTTAGTAGTGGTCTGCCCAGGACATTTCCCAGAAAAGCTCCTGGAACCTCAGAATCTTGCTTACTGAGGGGCTAGGATTACAGGCATGTGCCCATGGCACACGACTTCTGCCCTCCCCTAGGTGAGGTTCTAGGAAATCACATTTCCCATGAGTAAATAAGGTTTCATTACAAATTGGATGTCTGTGAATAATGTAGACCCAGGAAAGGCTGGGGTGTGGGGAGGTGGGTGAACTGGAGGCTGAATCAACTCAGAGATTTCAGGGAGGCATTATGTTGGCTTTACATATTTATAACCCCTGAAGCTTTTATGTTTTTGTGTCTGTGTCAGTCCTTCAACCTAAACTCAGCGTCATGGTGCTGTTTCTTTGGTGCTCAGAGCTACCACTACAGCATTTGAACCATAGGTGCAATTCTGGCCTTTTAAAAATTAATGTCCTTAGACTTTTACTGACTAATGTCTGATCAGACTGTGCACCTGACATCTCATGCTCCTGATTAGCTAGGATTAGAGGCATGAGCACTGTCACATTTACCTTGGACCAATGCATATAAGTCTCTTAGCAGAATTTTCACTGAACTGTATCTTACATATTTATGTGTCAGATTCCATTCCCATCTGGGAATGAGCCCATCCCATATGTGTCCTGTGTGGGCAGAAAACGAGAAGCTGAGAGGTGACTTCCTCCTGTCCTCCCATAGGTACAGATTCCCGGGCCATAACTCTGAGGAAGATGAACAAATAAAGAAGTAAGTGGACTGTGGCACAAAGAAAAGGCCCCTTCATTCAAAATGGTATCTTTGAGGCTTCTGATTCAAAGTGCAGATTTCTCATTTGCACATCATTGTGCTTTCCACTAGGGGCAGAGGGTTCGGGTTGGAGTGGTGGCAGAGGACACAGCTGTGGTGTGGTTGTGGACTCTCAGGGATGACAGGGAGGGCTGTGTGTTCAAAATCAGTTCCTTCTTGTGACCTATCACAGTAAGAATATTGGAGAATTACCTTTCAAAAGCTTCTAGACGTGGGTGGTGAAGATCATTCTGCCTGCAGGAGTCTCCTCCTGCTTCCCAGCATGCAAGTGTGCATATAGCAGCCTTGCAGAAAGGGGCTATAGGAGGCCCAGGATAGGGAGGGCAGACACTCACTCTTCTTGTCACCAATCTGCCCACAGCACCCTTTGTTCCATCTTCACCATGTGGATGGACTGCTATCCTGCAGATTTCCGAGAGCCCCAGAACCGACACCCGGTGAAAGAACTTACCCACTATGCCATGCTCCACATGCCCTCCTCAGATCTGGTCCTCAATCTCCACGTTCATCTGGATGAGCTGGAGGAGAGCAGGAAGAATGAGACCAAGAAACAGAGGAAGAAGTCCCTGTGTGGTCACCTCAGAGCTTGTGAGTAGGGATGGCGCCTGGGCCTCCAGGGATGAGCCTAATTGCCTGAGAGCCCTTATTACCCCCCAGGTTGTAAGAATGTCTTTTTATGGTACTATCTGCCAGGCAGTGTTGGTTCTATTGGTGAAAGCACTTGCGCTTAGCCACTCTTGGGAAAGACCTTACCTTCTCATCAGTGTTCAGTCCAAACTAAACTTGTACAGCTTCCTCCATTAGAGCCTCATGGAAATTGAACTCCACCTTAACATCCAGAATCCACTCCCAAACTCCTTTACCTATTTCTGTTTCTCAGGTTTTGGCCACCATAGAGCAGCTTCTCCTGACCTCCAAAGAAAGAAGCCCTCAGTGATGTCAAGGATGGTGATGGATGGGGATCTGGAGCCCTCACTGGACTACTCAATGCATGTGCATGTAGAGGGGTTGAATGCATTTGCAGTGAGGCCCCAAAAGGTTGTGAGTCCTGTGGATAAGACAGTGGTTCTGAACCCCACATGTAACAGAGCTGAACTTGTAGGGACCCCAAAGAAAGAAGAAGGTAATAGCGATTGTCTTCCTGTGACTTTCACAGGCAGCCCAGATCAGCTCAAAAAGGGTCAAATTAGCACACCTCCTGGCGTGCTGGAGGGAGTAGCACACGTGGGACTGATGGAAAATGTCCCCCGTCTGTGCTCAGGGGAACCAATGAGTGAGGTCCCAACATTAGATGCAGCTCAGGAAAGTGAATCTGTCCTCACTGAACATCTGGACAAATCTGTCCTGCTGCAGCAGAACCAATCTCCAACTGAGAAATTAGAATCTGCCTCTCCAGCCTTTGCTGGAGCAAATCCTATCTTTCATGAGGAGCTAGATACTTTGGAGGATTCTGAGGCAGAATTTATGTTTGAAGGCAACTTAGAAGCCGACCTAGCCTTAGAGCTTCCCTCCCCTCTCCCTGGGGATATCTCTCTTTTTCTTTTTGTCCTGATTGTTGTAAAATTTGCATTCTTTTTATTTTTCTCAATTTATTAAAGATATATGTTTATGTTGTAAAATTTATGGATGTTGAATACTCTGGCTTTTTTTACGTGCACAATCTGATGTCCCAGACACATGGTTCCTGAATAAGGGCAAAAGACAGAGTGACCTGGAGCTGTCCAAGAGCACTTACTGGCTATAGAGGGAAGAGTTCAGTGCACTGTGAGGGCCAAGGAACCCAGCCCATGCCTGCATGAGGTGATCAGGCCACTACTAAAGCTCTAGGACATAGCAAACCAGATGTCCTTGAAAGTTGTTCTGTCTATTGAGACAAATGTCAGACTAAATGTAATTTATAGGGGACTTTCTTGTAACAGTGAATTCAAGTGTTTATGCACACCCATTGTGCTTTGTGCAAATATGTAAGTAAATTTCACCTGAAAATTACATTGAATAGCTCCTTTGGGGGAAAAGTATTTGACAAAATACATAGGCACTAGGTGTACTGAAAAGTAAAAGCCATCATCAATAGAAGAAAGAGCACTTACTCAGAGGGACTTACTCAGAGGACATGACAGGTGTCCTGGCTCATCGCAATTATTCTATCTTCCAGACTGCCCTGTCCTTCCTCAGGAAGGAGGTTCAAATCAGCCCCCATAGACAAATATGAAAGACACTTATTCACTGAGTCAGCAAAAGTCAGGAACTTGTAGCATGGCTCAAGTTGTATGTTTAAGCACTGAACAAGGAAATAAGCAAAAGCTCAAGGCCCTGAGTTCAAACTCCACTACTGGTACAAAGGATAATGACATCTAAACCTGAAATGTGTGCAATGGTAGCTTTAATCCAAGGGAAAAGAGATGTATAGAAATGGGAAAATTATATATTAGTTTAAGCAAAAAGGCCAGACTTATACATTAGGTCCAGATATGAAATAGAAAAAAATGAACGAGCTTTACAATGTCGGTGTGGGGCAGGGGAGGGTGGGAAGGATTGGGTGGGGGGGAGGGGAGAGGCTGGGAAGGGAAGTGAAGGGTAAACAAAGGAGGAGGCTGCAATGCTTGGTAAGAAATGTATGCATTATCCTGCCCATGTAATTGTAACCCCTCTGTACAGTATGTTCTCAAATAAAAGAAAAGAAAAGAAAAAGAAAAAAATGAAGTTTACCTTCACACATCAACTCCTGGCCATCAATTTTGTCAAATAGGCACAATGCTGGGTTTGAATGATTCATTGCTCTCCATACTAGAAAGTTATAATCTCTAATTAACCCTCAAAAAGAAAGAACTGGGGTCAGGCTCAAGTGGCAGAGCACCAGCCAAGAGCAGGAACAAGTGAAGTGAGAGCAGGAAATTCATGACCCACTACCTGCATAAGAAAACAGCAAAGAAGCCTGCAGACAACAGCTGCTATGCTAAGGCTGAGTCTTTTCTCTCTGGGGATCAGGACATGTAGTATTTTTCTATCTCTACTTACTTCAACCTGAACACTAAAATGAGTCACTAAGATGAGCCTCTGTTGAGACTTTGTGTAACTCTCTTTTGTGAAACACCCTAGAATGTTAATCCCATGTGTCTCATGGACCAGTGATGTTTGGCTCAATGGGTAGATACTAGCCTTGAGCAGAAAAGCTCAGCAATAATGCTAAGGCACTGAGTTAAAGACCCAGTGCCGACATGCCAAAGAACCTATGCAGTTTACACACATTTCTCAATGGCTTAATGAGTTTTCCATATGTTTAAAGGTAGGGCTTATTTCTTTTTAGTTAAATGAGATAATTCCTAGTCGTATATTCCAAGTTTCATGGTTCCATTCTGCCTTTTTTTTTCTTCAAAAATGCTCTGGAGATAAGGACCATTTTGAATATATTTGTTAAAGCAAAGCAGATTTTTTTCTTCATGAATGAAAGCATTTGATATTTATGCAAATGGTTTAGTTGTGGGTGGTCCATGTGTGCATTATTGAAACCATATACAGCTATACTTGAAAAGATGATGCAGCTGACCATGGAGATGGTATGGAGATATTATTGGCTTAACTGTAGAATAACCCATTGGTGAGTGGGGGTGTGGCTGTTCATGTTCTATGGGAGCATGTGGAATGATTTATAAAACACCAAATAGATTCCAGCTAGCCAAATGCGGATCAGGATGATGTGGTACTATGTAGTGAATTGTGAAAGAATAGGAAAACCCTCTTAGATATCCAGATACATTTTCTGAATGGAGTTATGCGGGATTTCTGTTTGTCTGTCTGTCCCTCTGTTTGGTCGTGGAGCTTTAACTCATGTGGGCACTGTCTCTGAGCTCTTTTTTCCCAAGGCTAATGCTCTTCTACTTTGAGTCACAGCTCCCCTTCCAATTTTCTGGTGCCCTGTGTCACTAGATGAAATAAACTGGTGTCTAAGGCCTTCCAGAGGGCTTTGTGTTCCTAGGGCTGTGCGAGGAGAGGGCGGGGCCTCTCCACCCCGCCCCTAGCCCCGCCCCTAACCCCGCCCCTACCCGGCCCTCGGAGAGGAGCTGGGGAGGACGCGCTCCCTAGTGGCCCAGCCGAGCCACAGCCCCGCCCCTCCCCGCCCACCCTGAAGCCCCGCCCCTCCCGCCCCTCCCGCCCCTCCCGCCCCTCCCGCCCCTCCCGCCCCCGAAGCCGCCTCTGCTCCTCTCGCGACGCCGACGGCGCCGGGCTCCCTGGGGTCCCGCGGCCCTTATAGTTCCGGTTGTGGCGCCCGGGCGGAAAGTTGAAGCGGACGGACTGTGGCCGGCGATGGGCTTGGGGTGAGTGCAGGAGGCGGCGGCGGCGGCGGCCTGAGGGTCGTTCAGTCGGTTGTGGGGACACAGGCGAAGGGTGAGGTGAGAAGAGCCGCGCAGGCCCAGCGCCCGGCCATTGCGGCCTCCCCGCGCCGGCTCTGGGGCGCCATTCCCGGGGTCCCTGCGCTCCGCGACCCGGGACTGCCGAGCGCTGTGTGAACAGCCCCATTTCGCCCCGTTTTGGGCCCCTCTCTCCCCGCTTTCCTCAGGAGGGACTTCCAGGTCTTTTCACTGATTTTAGAGGTTGGTTGTCGGTTGTGGGGGGGCACCTCCCGTCGCCGTCCGTATGGAAGCACATTTGCAGCCAGACGTCTGCCCGGGAGAAGGCTGACAGGTGGCTGCGGCCTCCGCGGCGGCTGGGAGACTCAGGCGAGGCCCACGCTTTGAGGCTCGCCCCCTGAGGGGTTTTGTTTGGTTCTAGCGCTGGTTCTGGGGCCTTGAACTCAGGGCCTGAGCCCGTCCCTGAGCTCAAGGCTAGCGCCCTACCACTGGAGCCACACTTGCACATCCCGTTTATTTGGTAGGTTAATGGAGATTAAAAACAAGAAAGTCTCAAGGACTAGGCTTCCTGGCAGGGCTGGCTTCGAACCACCATCTTCAGCTCTCAGCCTCCTGTTGATGACCGGCGTGAGCCGCTGATGCGGGCCTTAGCTGGACGGTGTTCTGTAGAGCTGCTGAGACGCTTCAATCACTTTTCTTCAAGCATCCATCCAACACCGTGTTCTGTCACACACAGAGAACATGACTGAAGAGCGAAGCAGCGGTGCTGCTACGACAGTTTTAACAGGGTTATGTTGAACAAACAACTTTAATAGGCAGAGATGAGGGAGACAAATTTAAATTTGTCTATCAAAATTGTTAAACATTTGGGACTTCTCAGGAGTGAATTTTTTTCTGGTTAGTCTATTGATGTGGAAATCTGAACTATTTGAAACATCTATGTCTATTATGAGGTTTATAAAAAAAACACTTTTGCTGTTTAACCTATGTTCCTAACCCCCTGTTTAAAACATTGTTTTCAGTCACGTTTAATTCTAGTTACTTAGCAAGCTGAGACCTAGAGGATCACATCTCAAATCCAACCCAGATGGAATCCTAGAGACTCCCATCTTAGTACTGGCACACTCACAAAATTTTAAAAAAATTCTATGCACAAAAATAAAGAAATAACAAATACAGAGACCCACTAATGTGGATACAACTTGTTGATCCTCTGTTAAGAAACTATAGTGTGCCGGGCACCAGTAGCTCAAGCCTATAATCCTAGCTACTTAGGAGGCTGAGATCTGAAGAGTTAAAAGCAGTTAAATCCAGCCCAGGAGCCTAGCGCCGGTGGCTCACACTTGTAATCCTAACTACTCAGGAGGCTGAGATCTCATGATCAAGGTTCAAAGCTAGCCCAGGCAGGAAAGTCTGTGAGACTCATCTCCAATGAAGTACCAGAAAACCAGAAGAGTGGCTATGGCTCCAAGTGGTAGAACTCTAGGCTTGAGTGAAAAAGCTCAGGGACAGCGCCAGGCCCTGAGTTAAAGCTCTACAATGGAAAGGAAAGGAAAGAAGGGGAAAGGGGAAAGGGAAGGAAAGGAGAGAGAAACTGTAGTCTGTTGACACAATGAAATAGCATGTAATTACAAATAAATGACCCAGCTTAAAAAAAAATACATAACTAAGGAAAGTGGGTTACAGGACTATATGTGTATACTTCGTACAACTTCATAGTCACATTGCTTGTGTCATATGCAATTGTGGAAGACTTTAGGTAGATGTAAAAACATTATACAAGGTTAATGTTCATTGTTTGTTTTTTGGAATTCACTTCAAAATGTTTAACAATAGCCAGACTGCTTGCTGGTACAATGCCCAAGCACGGATGTGTGAAATTCTAAAATTCAAATTATAAGGGAGCTGTTGGAAACTTAGAACATAGTGGTTCACAGGAGCCAAATTACATTTTATTTATATATTTATTTAATTTTACTTTGAGGCTGCTATTGGGGCTTGTATTCAGGGCTTCATGCTTTCCCTCAACTTGCTGGTTCATGACTGATGAGCAGACTGGCTCCAAAATGAAAGCCTCTGACCTTAGCTTCCTGAGTATCTAGTATTACAGGCCACCAGCATTAAGCTATAGTGTGTGTGTGTGTGTGTGTGTGTGTGCGCGCGAGCACGTGCATGTGTGCGCGTGCATGTGTGCACGTGTGTTCATGCACCTCAGTATTGAGACTTAAACTCAGGGCCTGGGTGCTGATCCTTAGCTCCCCCGCTCCCCCCCGCCTCCCACTCAAAGCTAGTACTCTACCACTTGAGCCACAGCTCCATTTGAGCCACAGCTCCACTTATGGCTTTTTGGTAGTTAATTGGAGATAAAAGTCTCACAGACTTTCCTGTCTGAGATGGCTTCAAACCATGATCCCCAGATCTCAGCCTCCTGGGTAGCTAGGATTACAGTTGTGAACCACGAGTGTGTATATGTGTGTGTGTGTGTGTGTGTATCTCTCTCTCTTCCCCCCCTCTATGTATATATACATAAATGTATATGTGTAAGTATATATATATTTATATAAATACATATTTTATATAACAATTGAAAGTTGGAAGTAAGGCCTACCTTTAATGCTTTTTCCCACTGGTAATAAGGTAGCCCTTGATTCACAGGTGTAGATAGTGTGTTTTGAGTGTGTGTGGGAGTGGTCTTCCCAGTGAATTAGGCTGCTGTCTTCTTTCTCCCAGAATTCTCTGCAGATTGACCTATATAGGGGTCACCTTGCCTTATTTCTGGAAAATTGGTTACAGTTATGGTGAAAAGATACTGCTTTCCTTTTGTGACACTTCTGACTTTTTTTCCCCCACAGCATTTCACTATTTGTAGCTTGTTGTCTGCATTCTGACTGGGCTGGCTTGGATTCTGTTCACCATGCCAACAGTGGTGGTGATGGACGTGTCCCTCTCCATGACTCGGCCTGTGTCAATCGAGGGGTCTGAGGAATACCAGCGGAAGCACCTTGCAGCCCATGGGTTGACAATGCTGTTTGAGCACATGGCCACAAACTACAAGCTTGAATTCACAGCATTAGTGGTTTTCTCATCGCTTTGGGAACTGATGGTCCCCTTCACAAGAGATTATAACACCCTGCAGGTATAAAAAGGAATAAAGACCCAAGTTGATTGGAAAGAAAGCAGTATGATAATAGTGTACTGATTTTAGACCTTAGAATTATTTAATAATAAATATATAGGCACTTAATATGCACAGCTATAAAGCATAATTCATAACCAATAGGTCCTAGGCCTTTCTTTTGTAAAGGTATGAGGTAGAGAAAGAGGTCATGGGGGCTGGGAAGGTGGCTGACTGGTAAAGTGCTTGCCTCGCATTCATGAGGCCCTGGGTTCGATTCCTCAGCACCACATAAGCAGAGAAAGGTCATGGTCCATTTTCTGGAATTCTTAGGAAAGGTGAAGATTTCAGCATACCATGCTTCAGGCCCTAAATTCAACATTTTTTGCCATTCTGCTGTTTTCTACTTTCTCATACAATTTCAAGGTAATAAAAAATAGCCCTTATTAAAACACACACACACACACACACACACACAAATTTCTTCTAGAAAGTTAAGAATGATGCTTACTCTCCAACAGATAGTATTCATTTATAGATGACAAGGTATTATTTTTTTTTCTTTTTCTTCTTTTTTTCCATCCTGGGGCTTGAATTCAGGGCCTGGGCGTTATCCTTGAAATTTTTGCTCAAGGTTGGCACTCTACCACTTGAGCCATAGCTCCACTTCCAACTTTTTTGCTGGTTGATTGAGATAAGAGTCTCATGGACTTTCCTGCCCAAGGTGGCGTCAAATGTCGTTAGATCTCAGCCTCCTGAGTAGCTAGCATTACAGGTATGAGCTACTAGTACCCAGCTCAATGTTGTCATTTTAAAATCTTAATAGGTATTGTCTTTCAAAGATATTTTTCTGAGATTAGCCAGATGTCTTTATTTTTTTTTCAAATTCTTTATTGTGATTAAGTGATTACATAATTTCCCAAATTTCACTGTATTGCGAGATAGTGATGCTTAGTTAAAATCACAAATACATTCTAATTTCATGGGGCAAATTGTCTGTTGTGATCTATAATATTTATGAGTTCTGTGAGCCACCCAGATGTCTTTAAACCATTAATATCTCCTATAGTTCTTAGCACAGTGTCTTGGCCAGTGAGTAGACAATAAGTGTTTCTGAAATTAAACTGAGCAATTAAATAATTGTTGGGCAATTTGGAAATGCAGGATTAATGTAGTTTGAATTCTTAGTAATTTTTTTTGTTGTTGTCAGTCGTGGGCCTTGAACTCTGGGCCTGAGCACTGTCCCTCAGTTCTTCAGCTCAAGGCTAGCGCTCTACCACTTGAGCTATAGTGCCACTTCCGGTTTTCTGGTAGTTTATTGTAGATAGAAGTTTCACGGACTTTCCTGCCCCTGCTGGCTTTGAACCGCAATCCTCAGATCTCAGCCTCCTGAGTAGCTAGGATTGCAGGCATGAGCCACTGGCGCCCGGCTGAATTCCTCCTAATTTTTATTAAAGCTTTCCTTTTATTATCTTGCATCTTTATGAGACTTAAATTTTTTTTTAATCGTACTGGTGGACTCTTTTGCTGGTACTGAGTCTTGAATTCAGGACCTCATGCTTGGTAGGTAGATGCCCTACCACATGAGTCATACTTCCAACCCTTTTTTGTACTGGGTATTTTCAGATTATAGTCTCAGTTTATGCCCTGGATGGTTTGGGCTTTGATCCTTCCACTTGTGCTTCCCCATGTCAGTGGGGATAACAGGTGTGTGCTACCACACCTAGTCTTTGGTTGAAATAGAGTCTTGTGAATTTTCTCCCCAGGCCAGCCTCTTAACAGCAATTTCCCAATCTCTGCCTCTCAAATAGCTAGGATTATGGGCGTAAGCCACCCCACTCTGCTTGTACTAGTTTTCTTATAAGTTATTTAGCTGAAGATTTTTTGGTGTTTAGCAGTTCTAAAATTGAGAGAATTGCAATGTAATGAATGAGGTGTAAGAGGTAAAATCAGAAGCTCTGGAGTCAGGCCACTTCTTAAAAATTTCCTCATTTAGGGCTGGGAAGGTGGCTCAGTGGTAGAGCGCATGCCTTGCATGCCAGAGGCCCTGGGTTCGATTCCTCAGCACCACAGAAGCAAAAAGAAAAAAGCTGGAAGTGGCGCTGTGGGTCAAGTGGTAGAGCGCTAGCCTTGAGTTGAAGAGCTGAGGGACAGTGCCCAGGCCCAGAGTTCAGGCCCCATGACCAGACCCCAAAAAAAAAAAATCCTCATTTAAAAGTAGGGTGAACAATGGTAGGATGATTAAATCCATGTAAAGTGCACAGAATGGTGTTTAGGAGATTATGGTTAATGGTCCATAAATTTTGGTCATTGCTTTAAGCTTATTTCATTGTCCTTTACAGTTGAGGAATTCTGTTTTGCTGTGTTTGGGTGTGTGTGTTTGGGTGTGTGTGTGTGTGTGTGTTTTCTGGAACCTATGCTTTGGGGCTTACAGAAACTCAGTGTTCGCTGTATGATATTCAGACGTCGTACAGTTTATAGTGGTTTCTAATAACAAAACAGCAGCGAATAATGAGCAATTTTTTTCTCGCCCAATAAGGAAGCACTGAGTAACATGGACGATTACGACAAGACATGCCTAGAGTCCGCACTGGTTGGTGTCTGTAACATTGTTCAGCAAGAATGGGGCGGTGCGATCCCTTGCCAGGTAATGCTTAGTTTTTCTCAATGTCCTTAGTTGATATCATTAACGAGCCAGGCACTAGTGGCTCACACCTGTAACCCTAACTATTAAGGTGGCTGAAATCCAAGGATTGCTGGTCAAAGCTAGCCCAGGCAGGAAAGTATATGAGACTCTTATCTCCAATTAACCAAAAAAGAAAAAAAAAAAAAAGTAGAGTTATGACTCAAGTGGTAGAGTGCTAGCCTTGAGCAGAAAAAGCTAAGGGACAGTACCCAGGCCCTGAGTTCAAGCTCTAGTACCTGCATTTTTGTTTTAAATGCACAAATTCAAAATACATGGTTTTTTCTTGTCTATGAGGATGGATGTTAAGGAGAGCAGAGAGAGAGAGAAAGAATGGTGGACAAAAACAGTCATAATATTCAATGTACATATTGAAACTGGGACTAGAAAACTTCAGATGGGTAAGTTTGGAGTACATGGAAAAATGATAGAAAGGTTGACACTGATCAAAGTGTATTCTACATATCAGTTGACGTTGAATTAAAACCCTGTGGTATAACTAGTTAAAGATAATTTTAGCCGGGGGCAGTGGCTCCCATGTATAATCCAAGTTACTTAGAAGGCTGAGATCTGAGGATCCAGGTTCAAAGTCAGCCCAGCAAGGCTCTTATCTCTAATTAACCATCAGAAAACCAGAAGTGCAATTGTGACTCAAAGTGGTAGAGTGCTAGCCTTGAGCAAAAAGAGCTCAGGGATAGCACCCAGGCCCTGAGTTCAGGTACCATGACTGACAAGGGAAAAAAAAAGATAATTAAAAAAAATAAGCCAGCCATCAGGGGCTCATGCTTGTAATCCTACCTACTCAAGAGGCAGAGTTCTGAAGAGCATGGTTTGATGCTAGCCTGGGCAGGAAAGTCTGTGAGACTTTTATCTCCAGCTAACCAGTAAAAAGGCAAAAGTAGAGGTGTGGCTCTAGTGGAAGAACACCAGTCTTGAGCAAAGTAGTTCACAAATAGAGCCCAGGCCCTGAGTTCCAGCCCCAAGACCGGCACATAAACAAACAAATAAATCACACAGTTTGCTAGATTTTCACAAATGGAAGCATGTATGTATATCCTTACTCCAATTAAGACCTAGAACATACCCATCACCCCACAAAGCTCCCTGCACATTCCTGTAGCAGTGAAAGCAAACCTGGGTGGAGCTGTTGGGCATGTGGCTTAATGGATACTTGTCCTCTGCACACAGGTCGTTCTGGTGACGGACGGCTGTCTCGGCATTGGTAGAGGGTCCCTGCGACATTCCCTAGCGACACACAATCAAAGGAGCGACAGCAACAGGTTCCCGCTGCCTTTCCCTTTCCCGTCTAAGTTATACATCATGTGCATGGCAAACCTGGAAGAGGTAATACCTTCTGCTAACTGCTTTTTAGATGGGTTAGGTAAATCCCAGGTCTCGGTTTATTTGTCAGTGTATTGAATGAACACTCTTGCGTACGGTATAACATTTAGATTTGAAAAGACTTGATTTCACATGCTCTTTGACAAAACAACACTCACCTCTCCGAGAGTATAGCTGGAGATGCCCATTCTGCTGATGACCATGAAGGGTTGAGATGTTCTTTTTTTTCTGTCCATTCCTCCAGAAATGTTGACAGAGGTATACTTTAGTTTTTGTGTTTGGGAGGGGGCTTTTTTTGGGGGGGGGAGACATAGGCCTTTTTGTTTGTTTGTTGTGGTGCTGGTATTGGGGCTTAAAATCAAAGCCTGGATGCTGTCCCTGAGCTTTTTGCTCAAGACTAGCACTCTACCATTTTGAGCCACAGCTCCACTTCTGGCTCTTTTGGTAGTTTATGGAGCTGAAGAGCTCACCGATTTTACTACTCAGGCTTGGCTTCAAATTGCCATCCTTAGCTCTCAACCTCCTGAGTAGCTAGGATTACAGGCATGAGCCACCAGCACCTGGCTTCTGATGTGTTGTATTAAATACTTCCTGCTTTTCCCATTGAGTCAGGAATTATTTCACTTTACCTCAGTTTTTCGCTCTATAAAATGCTGATAATTGATGGCTCTTGCCAAACCATGTCAGGAACAGGTTGTAGGGAAGATGCTGTATGGCTACTAACTGTGGTCTCCTGAGAATCTGCAGAACTACTTCTGAATGAAGTACCTCTCGTAACCTTGAGGCAGATTGCAGTAGTTGAGGTAAGAAAGTCCATGAGACTCAGTATCTCCACTAAATTACAAAAAAATCTGGAAGTGGAGTTGTGGCTCAAGTGGTAGAGTGCTAGCCTTGAGCAAAAAGTTCAAGGACAGCACCTAGGCTCTGGAATTGAGCCCCAGAACTGGCACACACAGTAGTTACTTCCTTCTTATATTGACTGTTAAGAAAATCATCTCACGGGGCTGGGAAGGTGGCTCAGTGGTTGAGCGCTTGCCTTTCATGCATGTGGCCCTGGGTTCGATTCCTCAGCACCACATAAGCAAAAAGAAAAAAGCCAGAAGTGGAGCTGTAGCTCAAGTGGTAGAGCGCTAGCCTTGAGCTGAAGAGCTGAGGGACAGTGCCCAGTCCCAGAGTTTAGGCCCCACAACTGGACCCAAAAAAAAAAAAAAGAAAATCATCTCACGGCCAGCTCACGGTGGCTCAACACCTGTAATCCTAGCTACTCAGGAGGCTGAGATCTGAGGATCATGGTTCAAAGCCAGCCTGGGCGGGAAAGTGGGTGAGACTTTTTTTTGGGGGGGTGGGGTGGGGGGGGGTTCCGGTCATGGTTCCTGAACTCGGGGCCTGGGTGATGTCCCTCAGCTCTTCAGCTCAAGGCTAGCACTCTACCACTTGAGCCACAGCGCCACTTCCATCTTTTTTCATTTTGCTTATGTGGTGCTGAGGAATAGAATCGAACCCAGGGCCTCAAGCATGCAAGGCAAGCGCTGTGCCACTGAGCCACTTTCCCAGCCCGTCCTTGTGACTCTTATCTACCAAAACTACCAAAAAAGCTAGAAATGGAGCTGTGGCTCCACTTGAGACTTGAGTCTTGAGACTCTTATCTCCAAATAACCACTCAAAAAAACTGGAAGTAGCTCTAGGCTGAAGTGGTAGAGCACTAGCTTTGAATACATAGAGGCTCAGGGACAGCATTCAAGCCCTGAGTTCAACCCCTGCAACTGACAAAAAAAAAAAGTGTAAGGCCTTGAGTTTAAGCCCCAGTACCAGAACCAAAAGAACAAACCAAACAAACCGTTTATTGGCCATTTTGTTACAGTGGCTGTGGCCTTGGTGTGCTGGTAGTGATGTGGTGATTTGTTCTACTTTAAAGGTGTCCTCTCTTGCTTTGTAGCTTCAGAGCACCGATTCCCTGGAATGCCTTGAACGTCTCATAGACCTCAACAACGGTGAAGGGCAAATTTTTACTATTGATGGCCCCCTGTGCTTGAAAAACGTGCAGTCTATGTTTGGGTGAGTATATGCCTTAAAGTTGTTTTTGTTGGGGGTAGGGGTGGGGGCTTCTTTACAATCTGATATAATTTGACAACCAAGAAGAACAGTTACTGTATTATTTCTTCAGTCTAACATTCTCCCAACTGAGGTATTTCAGCAACCTCTCAGTTACTGTATTATTTCTAACAGTGTGAGTCCATTTTCCCAAAGTTGCCCGTTTCTCAGGTAAAATAAGGTGGTCATGCTTTAAAAAGACTCAGCTGTTCCCAAGTTTAACTTGCTATGGGGTTTCTCTCTCAATTGAAATTTCCTCTTTCAAAACATCAAGATGTTTTCCGTTTCACAAGTAGATTTAGTTTTGGAATCAGTGCGAAGGTTTAACCAACTTTACATCTTGAAATGTAACTTTCATGTGTACAGTCCTTTTATGTGTACCACATGTGAACTCTTCCTCCCTTAACCAGTCATGATCATCTTCTAGAAAGCTGATAGACCTGGCATATACGCCTTTCCATGCTGTGCTCAAGTGTGGCCATCTGACCGCTGACGTCCAGGTCTTCCCCAGGCCAGAGCCATTCATTGTAGATGAAGAAATCGATCCTATCCCAAAAGTCATTAACACAGGTAATGCATTAAAAATTCCCTCCTGGCCTTCCTCTTCTTTTCTCTGCCCTCTTTTCACTTGTGACTTACTTTCTCCCCATCTAGGAGGGTTGGAAAGAATCTTGTATTCTCACAGGGAGGTGCTATTGTCATCAGCCCTGGATTTTTTTTTTGCTGGTCCTAGGGGCTTGAACTCAGGGCCTGGGCATTGTCTCTGAGCCTCATTTCCTCAAGGCTAGCCCTCTACCACTGGAGCCACAGCACCACTTCAAACTTTTTCTGTTATGTGGTACTGAGGAATCAAACCCAGGGCTTCATGTATGCTAGGCAAGCATTCTACCACTAAGCTACATTCCTAGCCCTAATTTATTTTTTTATACATGTGTGGGCTGATCCTGGGACTTGAACTCAGGACCTACATCCTATCCCTTAGCTTTTTCTGCTTAAGGCTAACAACACTGTACCACTTGAGCCAAATCTCCACTTCTGACCTTTTCATGGTTCATTGAAGATGTGTCTCATGACTTTTGTGCCTGATCTAGCTTTGAACTGTAATCCTCAGATCTCAGCCTCCTGAGTAGCGAGTATTACAAGTGTGAGTCACTGGCACCAGGCTCCTGCTGCTTGCAATGTAACTAAAAGAAAGTGATTAGCTACACTGTTTCCCTGTCATATTGCTTAGCCCAAGGCTTAGCTGAGATTGGCACTGGGGAAAGTCAATATTAAGTAAGACAGAGGAGAGTTGTCCCCCGTTGATGGATTGATCCCTGGAGTGATGGGTACAAAATAAATCTCTTAGGAATGGGTGTTTGCCTTTCCAGTCACTCTCGTAACCTTGATAGCTAATATATGATGCTTAGTCGATGCTTAGTAGCTAATTGGAAAGTCAGTAAATGATCACACCTAAGCAGACAATGCATGTTCATTGTTTGAGGCACAGAGATTTTAGGAAAAAGCACTGTGAGAAGGGTGTTTATTTTTGTGCCTATAGCTTTGGGGTGTGATGAGCTAGTGTCTATCTCTGTCTGTTGTAACAATGGGACAATAGTATATTAAGCCACACCGTATGTTCTGTGGTCTTCATAACAGTTAAATTCAACCTCCTTCCATATTTCTTTGGTGAACAGTTTCATTATTTCTTTGCCATATAAATGTTTAATCTAAAATCCTTAATGTAGCATCTGTTAAATCTAGAGAATAGAGTAGGTCTTTTCCATTCAAATGAAACAGCTCTAGCTACTGGTGTTGGCTTGTTTCTTAGCTGAAAGAGTTAACGGCAGCAGACCTGAGAGTCACGCTTCCAGCATGGTATAAGTCAGTGTGCTGCTGCATCTAAGTTTATAAATAGTTTCCAAAATATATTTGTGTATATGCTTAGAAGAAAAATTGAAAAGCAACTCAATAAAAAATTACTTTTCTTTTATGATGAATAATAAATGATTTTTTAAATAATTTTAGTGTTTTGTTAAGTTGTATGTTAGTTATATAATCGAGCTTTAGAAAGAAAAGTTTCAGGGCTGGGAAGGTGGCTCAGTGGGTAGAGTGCTTGCCTTGCATGCATGAGGCCCTGGGTTCGATTCCTCAGCACTACATAAGCAGAAAAAGCCAGAAGTGGTGCTGTGGCTCAAGTGGTAGAGTGCTAGCCTTGAGCTGAAGAGCTCAGGGACAGAACCCAGGCCCAGAGTTCAGGCTCCACGACCGACAAAAAAAAAAAAAAAGAAAAGAAAAAAAGAAGTTTCAGTACTAGGATAGTGGCTTATGCTGGTAATCTCAGCATTCAAGAGGATAAGGCAGCAAGATTGTGAGTTCTAAGCCAGCCTCCCATGGCAAGACCCTGTCAAAAACAAAAAACAGAAAAGAGTATAAGGGAGGCACAAAAATGGAGGGACAAAGGTTGGAAAACTGCAGCAGTGGACTCACCGGACACAACTTATGAGTGGGATGGGAAGGAAAAACAGAGGGAGTGAGGGAAGGGATGACATTGCGCAAAAAGAAATATACTTGTAACTGGGCACTGGTGGCTCATGTCTGTAATCCAAGCTACTCAGGAGGCCAAGACCTGAGGATCGCAGTTCAAAGCCAGAGTGGGCAGGAAAGTCTGTGAGATTCTTCAGTTAGCCACCAAAAAGCTGAAAGTGGGGTTGTAGCTCAAGCAGTAGAATACTAGCCTTGAGTGAAAAGCTAAGGGACAGCTCCCAGGCCCTTAGTTCAAGCCCCAGGACCAGCACCCACCCACAAACATACTTTTGTCTTTTAGTACAGTTTCTCTAAAGCAAAAACATCATTGTCACATTGGTTTTGCCGCAGTGATTCTTTTTTTTTTTTTTTTCTTGCCAGTCCTGGGTGTTTGAACTCAGGACCTTGGAACTGTCCCTGAGCTTCTTTTGCTCAAGGCTAGCACTCTTATTTCTTGAGCCACAGTGCCACTCAGGGTTTTTTCTGTTTATGTGGCACTGAGGAATTGAACCAGGGCTTCACGCATGCTAGACAAGCACTCTACCACTGAGCCACATTCCCAGTCATCCCATTCATTTTGTAAAGGATGTATTTCTTTCTCAGGGAAACTGTTTAGGTAATGACTTTATTTTTCAAAGAAGGCTGAATGAAGTTGTATAAGTGGATTTTAGTGCCTCTGGCAACCTGAATAACCAGGACTATTAACAAGGAGATTTGACCTTAAGCTCTTGCCCTGGCTAAGGAACTGGCTTCATAAAAATAAAGTTGACCTGAGTTATCATATAATTTGTATTCATTAATGTTCTTAAGAACAGACAATTACCAGCCAGGTGGCCCATGCTTATAATGATAGCTACTCAGGAGACTGAGAACTGAGGATCAAGGTTTGAAGCCATCTAGGACAAGAAAGGCACCAAAAAGGGGCTGGGAATGTGGTTTAGTGGTAGAGTTAGTGCCTAGCATGCATGAAGCCCTAGGTTCTTTTCCTCAGTACCACATACTTAGAAAAAGCCAGAAGTGGCACTGTGGCTCAAGTGGTAGAGGGCTAGCCTTGAGCAAAAGAAGCTCAGGGACAGTACCCAAGCCCTGAATTCAAGTACCAGGACTGGCAAAAGAACAAGAAAAAAGAAAAGAAAAGAAAGCTGGGGGCTGGTGGCTCACGCCTATAATCCTAGCTACTCAGGAGGCTGAGATCTGAGGATCATAGTTCAAAGCCAGCCTGGGCAGAAAATTCCACAAGTCTCTTATCTCCAATAAACCACTAGAAAACCGGAAGTGGTGCTGTGGCTCAAACGGTAGAGTGCTCGCCTTGAACTGAAGAGTACAGGGACAGCGCCCAAACCCAGAGTTCAAGCCCCACGCCCGAGAAAAAAAAAGAAAAGAAAAGAAAAAAGAAAGGCACTAAAAAATAAAATAATGATAATAAGTAAAGACAATTGCCATTATTTTTTTTTTTGCGGGGGGGGGGGGGGGGGCGCGCTCCGGTCGTGGGGCCTGAACTCTGGGCCTGGGCGCTGTCCCTCAGCTCTTCAGCTCAAGGCTAGAGCTCTACCACTTGAGCCACAGCGCCACTTTTGGCTATTTTCTTTTTGCTTATATGGTGCTGAGGAATTGAACCCAGGGCCTCAGGCATGCAAGGCAAGTGCTCTACCACTGAGCCACCTTCCCAGCCCATGCCATTATTTTCTGAGTTAGTTAAAATGTAAGTTGTTGGTCACCATAATTGAAACCTCCACCTACAGCAGGGTATTTGTGAAATGGACTTCTCCTGGTATAAATTAATTCTCTGCAAATTCCTTCCTTTTAGATTTGGAAATTGTGGGGTTTATTGATATAGCTGATATTTCAAGTCCCCCAGTTCTGTCCAGACATCTCGTCTTACCTATTGCCCTTAACAAAGGTGAGTTCTTTTCTTATGCCATTGATGTATATGAAGACTTCTATTATCTAAAGTTATTCTTACAAGGTTGACAATAGATTAGCCCTTTTTGTATAGTAAAAGAGGAATAGTTGCCATGTTGGATTTTATTTTTTTTCTGCCAGTCCTGAGGCTTGAACTCAGGGCCTGGGCACTGTCCCTGAGCTTCTTTTGCTCAAGGCTAGCACTCTACCACTTGAGCCACAGCACCACTTCTGGCTTTTTCTATTTTATGTAGAACTGAGGAATCAAACCCAGGGCTTAATGCATCCTAGGCATTACCATTAAATGAGCCACATTCCCAGCCCCCATGTTGGATTTCAAAAAAGAGAATGTTCCTTCATACAGCAGAAATGTTGCTGCTTTCTTCTATGTATGAGTTGTGAATGAACAGTGGAGGTCCTCCTTAGAGATGAGGCTGCTTCTTCCTTATCTAGGACTCTGCCTTTCCTATGAGGAGCATGCTGAGAAAGGCAGGTGGTAACCAGAAGACTGGCTTCAGGAGAAGGGGGGAGCAGGGAAGGAAGGCAACAGTTATGCTGTGAAAAATGCAATACGTGCAATGCTGAAATATGGCAGAAACCTTTTGTTACAGTTAGTACAGTAAAAAAATAGAATGACAAAGCTGGGCACCAGTGGCTCACACCTGTAATCCTAGCTGCTTGGGAGGCTGAGATCTGAGGATCGCGGTTCAAAGCCAGCCCATGAGACTCTTTTTTTTTTTTTTTTATTTGGGGGGGTCCGGTCACGGGCCTGAACTCTGGGCCTGGGCACTGTCCCTCAGCTCTTCAGCTTAAGGCTAGCGCTCTACCACTTGAGCCACAGCGCCACTTCCTGCTTTTTTTTCTTTTTGCTTATGTGGTACTGAGGAATTGAACCCAGGGCCTCGTACATGCAAGGCAAGCACTCTACCACTGAGCCATCTTCCCAGCCCCCTCCGTGAGACTCTTATCTCCAATAAACCACCAGAAAACCGGAATTGGCACTGTGGCTCAAGTGGTAGAGTGCTTGCCTTGAGCTGAAGAGCTCAGGGACAGTGCCGGGAGTTCAAGTCCCACAACCAACAACAACAAGCTCTATTGCTTTGCAGGGGTGGGCTCCAGTGGGAAGTCTGGGCTAACAACTTGGATGAGAAAGGATGAATGTGGTCAAAGTAGATTGCTTGCATGTATGAAAACAGAGCAAGAAACCTGTTAAAATTGATTTAAAGAGGGCGAGGACAAGGGAGTGTGATAGAATGGAAGGAATTGATCAGGGTATTTTGTACACAGGGGTGGAAATACCACAGTGAAATCCCCCTTGTGTCACCGTGTGTGCTCATAGAAAGATTGGTAAATGTGCAAGTGCATACAACTTCCTAAGGGGGAGGACGTTATGCCAAGCACATAGTAGATACTCATTAAATCTGGCTGGCTGGATGGCCAGACAGGTGGATGGACAGATAAGCCTAGTTAGTACCTTGTGGAACTGCAGAATATATCTTTGTAGGAACTGTGAGGTTGTGTCCCTGAATTCAGCATCTTTGGTGTATGCTGAACTCTTGCTCTTTTGTGTCCTTTGTCTCTATGGATATAAAGGGAATTTATATAATTATTGAAAAGGGATTTTTATATGGGCCTTGGAAAACTGAGATGAGTTTTTTTCCAATTTTTGATACGTTCTCTTAAGCTCTACATACTTTCCCTTCAAGGCCAGGAGGAGCCACGCATGTACTTGGCAGTGGGGTTTTGTGGCTCATCTTGCTCTAACTCATTTTCCTCTTTCAGAGGGTGATGAGGTGGGTACCGGTATCACTGATGACAATGAAGACGAAAATTCAGCCAATCAGATTGCAGGCAAAATACCCAACTTCTGCGTCCTGCTCCATGGCAGCCTGAAAGTGGAAGGAATGGTGGCGATAGTTCAGTTGGGGTAGGAAACTTTCTTCTCATCTGGTTCAATAAAGGGATGGAAAACTATATGGACTTACCTGAAAGAAAAGTAGAAATCTCCTCCTCTGCCCTGTCCTTCCCACCTGCCAAGGCTTTTGAAGTTAAGCTCTCCCTAACTTCTCCCTAGAATAAGTATGGAGTGAGCCTTTTAAAATATTAGTAGTGGGGCTTGAACTTGGAGCCTTGTACTCTTACTTGGCATTTTTGCCACTTGAGCCACACCTCCATTCCATCTTTTGTCTTTGTGTGTCAGTTGTAGGGCTTAAACTCAAGGCCTGGGCACTGTTCCTGAACTCTTTTGTACAAGGGTAGCACTCTCCCAACTTGAGCCACAGCTCCACTTCTCGTTTTCTAGTGATTCATTTGAGATAAGTCTCACAGACTTTCCTGCTCCGACTGCCTTTGAACCTTAATTCTCAGATCTTAGCCTCCAGAGTAGCTACCAGGGCCTGGCTTTTTTTTTTTGTTTCTTTTAAACTGCTTTTAATTTCCATATGTATATCATTTTGCCTGAAAAAGCAGTAATGCCCCAGAGGAACTATTAGAAAACAGTAGTATGCATTTTCAGGTTTAGGATTTGGCATTGGTAAGAGTGTATGAGTGGTGGACCTGACTTCAAAGCTGAAGGCTGTGTCAGGCTAAATTTAGTGTGACAGCTTCAGGCTTGCTGTTCTTCTGATCTCTCCCTCTCTCCTTCTTTCTCTCTCTCTCCAGTCCTGAATGGCATGGAATGCTTTACTCCCAAGCCGACAGCAAGAAGAAATCAAACCTCATGATGTCTCTCTTTGAGCCTGGCCCAGAACCTCTCCCATGGCTGGGGAAGATGGCACAACTGGGTCCTATTTCAGGTAGAGCAAGATCATTTCTTGCCAGTCTGCACTGTACCTTCCCTCTACCATTCTGAGTATCTGACAGGAGTTGGAGAGCTGGCTGAGCTCTTGGTGCACCATGGTGTCTAAGGCTGGATGTCTACATAAGGAACTTGGCTTTCACAGCTCAGGGGAAACCAGCATTTAGGGTACTTTAAGGAAATACAAAGTCTTCAATTGCTTAGTGTGAAAAGATAAGCCAGGCACCAGTGATTCACACCTACAATCCTAACTACTCAAAAGGCTGAGATCTGAGTATCAGGGTTTGAAACCAACCCTGGCAGAAAAGTCCAGGAGACTCTTATCTTCAAGGAACTACTTAGAAAAAGCCAGACATGGCACGGTGGCCAAGTGGTAGAGCTCACCTTGAGCACAAAGAGGCTCAAAGACAGTTCCCAGGCCTTGAGTCAAACCCCAAGACTGGCCAAAAAAAAAAAAAGGCACTGCCATTTTTTTCCCCTTTAGTGCACTATTTCCAACTCAAGTCCCTTTTATTATTATTACCTTTTTAATGTACCAGTCCTAGGACTGGAACTCAGCGAACTCAGGGCCTGGGTGCTATCCCTGAGCTTTTTTTGCTCAACACTCTACTTGAGCCACAGCTCTATTTATGGCTTTTTGATGCTTAATTGGAGATAAAAGCCTCACAGACTTTTCCTGCCTGGATGGCCTTGAACTGTGGTCCTCAGATCTGCCTCTTCAGTTGCCACTCCTTTTGACAGACCCTTGTGCTGCTGGGTCCTTAGGCTCTACCTGTGGAGTGACCCTTGTCTCATTTGGGCTCATTTCAGTTTCAGGGATGTTTGCCAAGCTTAGTGATAAGCGTCAGCTGGCGTTGCTGGGAGGTGGGGGGGAGGGGAGGAAGATTGGACGGACTGTACAGGGCTAGGGTTAGCTAGGCAGAGGTGACCATCAGAGCAGCTCTGCCCAGTACTCAGAGCTAAGTCTTTGCCGGGGAGAGACATACAAGCTGTGTTTTGAAGGAAAAAAAGCTGATGAAGGAAGAAAGGGCTTCCAGAGTAAATCAAACACCTCTATTTCTAGTGGAAAGAAATCAGAGCTTCCAGGTAAATCGAACACCTATTTTTGCAAAGGAATTGAGCAGGAGTGCAGGGGGAGCAGAGTTGGTGGAGCATGGGGAGGGCAGGTGGTCGATTGCAGATGGGCAGTAGCCAGATCTGAGCAGCCTCTGAAATATGAAGAGCCAAGACTTATGCAGGTGCTGAGAGGGACTGCAGAGGAGTCATGTGGTCAGATCCTCTGGCCACAGTGCAGCCAGCAAGAGAGGTCCCTAGGAGAGTTGGTATTCTGCCGTTGGTGTCCCTTGAGTTTTGTGACTTGGCTATCATCCAAGTGAGAGATGAGACATTTGATCTGGGAGTGATCCCTGAGGTTGGCATTGGGGCCAAAGGGTAGCCCAGGGAAGACTATAACTGCACCAGTTGAGTTTGTGCCCATCAGACAGATATAGGCAGAGAAAGTCTCTTTGGGAGTCTAGCTCTAGTGATAGTTTTCACCAGAGATGTTTGTCCATAAATCAGACTCTTCTATCTGACTCCTTTCTGAGCTGGCTGCAATCCAGCAGCCCTCATTGTTTATGGAGGTGGAACTGCCATTTACTCTCTCCTGTACTTATATATTATGTATCTCCTGAATTTCTTTTGTTTTGATCCAAGACTGGGACTGGGACTTAACTCAGTACCTGACACTTCACTCATTGATTTTTGTTTTGTTTTGCCAGTCCTGGGGCTTGAACTCAGGGCCTGGGCACTATCCCTGAGCCTCATTGTTCTCAAGGCTAGTACTCTACCACTTGAGCCACAGCACTACTTCCAGGCTTTTCTGTTTATGTGGTACTGAGGAATCAAACCCAGGGCTTCATGCGTGCTAGGCAAGCACTCTACCACTAAGCCACATTCCCAGCCCCTGAGACTTCATTGGCTAGTGCTCTAACTCGGGTCACATCTCCAGCCCTAAGGTCTTCTTTGCGGTGGGAACAATAGCAGCTGACATTTATAAACTGAATTTTGTGCCAGACACTGAGTTAGACATTTGAATTCTCACAGAAATTTCATGAGGTTGGGATTGGCATGAGACAGTGAATAAAAGAAAACCTACATCTCCAGGCTATTGAGAGAACTCACTAAGGGGGATACATCCAAAGTGCCTGAGGGCCACACAGTGGATGCAGAATGGTGGAGATCATGCAAAATAGCACTGCCATGGTTGAGACTGACCCCTCCTAATTCTGTCAAATCATCTTAAATACTTGCATCCTTCTTTTTTTTTTGGCCAGTCGTGGGGCTTGAACTCTGGGCCTGAGTGCTGTCCCTCAGCTCTTCAGCTCAAGGTGAGCACTCTACCACTTGATCTACAGCGCCACTTCCGGTTTTCTGGTCGTTTATTGGAGATAAGTTTCACGGACTTTCCTGCCAGGGCTGGCTTTGAACCACAATCCTCAGATCTCAGCCTCCTAAGTAGCTAGGATTATAGGCGTGAGCCACCGGAGCCTGGCTAAATGCTTGCATCTTTTGAGTAATGCAATATATAGCTAGATCTTGATTCTGTTTTTTTCATTGTGGTGTGTGTCTCATACTGACTTTGAATGTTTGAATGTGTCAGTGTTCTATAGGCCTGTTGTCTATATGTCATCTAGCATTCTTCCTGTAACTTCGTGTGTGTGTGTGTGTGTGTGTGTGTGTGTGTGTGTGTGTGTGTGTGTGTGTGTGTGTGTGTGTGTGTGTGTGTGTGTGTGTGTGTGTGTGTGTTCCTCCTGGGACTTGAACTCAGAGCCTGGGTGCTGTCCCTAAGCTTTCTTTGCTCAAAGCTAATACTCTACCATTTAAACCACAGCTCCACTTCTAGCTTTTTTTTGGTGGGAAGGGGGTATAATTCAGTGGAGATAAGAGTCTCATGGAGTTTCCTGTCCAGGCTTGCTTTGAACCATGATCCTGAGATCTTAGCCTCCTGAGTAGCTAGGATTATCCCATATTTCTTATTTCTAAGAGTTTCTTGTTCAGTCTTTCCCATCTGCTAGTGCATTTATCGGTTGGAGGCTGTAAGGAAAGTTTGGGATAGGCCATGGTCAGCTGTTGCAGTGTTGCTATGACACTGAGTGCGGTCGGATAACAGAGTCTCAAGAAAAGCTTGGAGCAGCTTGCTGGCTGCTGGCTAGAATCTAGACATAAGATACAGATAGATATGGAGAAGTCAGGGTGTGAGGGAGGGGAACTACAATGCTGAATGAGGGAAGAGGTGTCAGATTCAAACCAGTGCATAAGGACATACTCTCTGAGCTTCAGTTCCTCATCTTTAATAGGATTGACTGCTGTCCGCCTTCAAGGTTTGCTGTATATGCAGTATATGTAAAGTGTCTGGTACAAAGGTAGAATTTAATAAATACTCTTGGGGCTTGAACTCCTCTGGGCCTCATGTTCTCACTTGGCTTTTTCTCCCAGGGCTGGAGCTCTACCACTTGAGCCACACTTCTACTTCTGGCTTTTTGCTGGTTAATTAGAGTCTTGGGGGATTTTTTTTGTCCCTGCTAGCTTCAAACCATGATCCTCAGATACGGCTGCCATATTAGACAGCACAGCAAAGTTTGGCGGGTGGGCTAGAATATACACAGCACAGTATGTTTATATATGTGTTTAAAAATAATGTACTTTAGTATTGCAAGTATGTCTTTTTTCTCCTCTCTGGCCTTAACTTACATGGCAGGCGAGTGAAGCTGTTTCTTCAGGACATTAGCAGTTCTTCACTAGGCAGGCCTCTTGATTCCTTGCTGTCCGCCATCCCTGGCTTTCTACTGGGAACAGGTTCTCCAGCTCGCTGAGGTGAATGGATTTTCTTAATTAATGAGGTAATAGGATATAGCAGATTGAATGACTCAGAGAGCCACTAGCCTAATTGGAAATGGAATTGATTGTGTTTGCCATATGTCATTTGGAGAATATCTTTTTCTTGCAGATGCTAAAGAAAACCCTTACGGTGAGGATGACAATAAGAGCCCATTCCCCCTGCAACCCAAAAACAAACGCAGCTATGCCCAGAATGTGACTGTCTGGATCAAACCCAGTGGCCTACAGGTAAACATTATATCTGTACCGCGCGCCCACTCCTCCTTGGGGACTGGAGGCCGCATTTGGGTTAGCAGGCAAAAGACATTTGATTTGATTTGCCTCTCCTTTGATACTCCGTAATTCACTTATAATGTGTCATTATTGCCAAAAGGGATTTGAGATGGCCTACAGGAAAACACCTAGAAAACAAAATCATTTTTTATAAAATTTAGAGCAATAAGAAATCTAGATAAAGAACGGAAAGAATTGTGCCTGGAACCCAAGGCCAGATGGTAATTGTGTTTAAGCAGGGCAGCTCTGGGCCTCCTCCCATGGTCAAAACAGAAGTGAGTTGGGTTGTTTCTCTTGTCCAGTAGAAGAAAGCATGTCTGTTCTTCTACTTGGATGTATTTTCCCTGCACTGGAGGTTAAAGTAAAATTCTTCACATGGAGAGGCAGTAAGTGAGCAATACTCATAATATCAGTGTTGTCTCTCTGTGTGTGCCAGTACTAGGGCTTGTACTCTGAGCCTGGGCACTGTCCCTTACCTTTTTCACTCAAGACTGTGCTTTACCACTTGAGCCACTGCCCTACTTCTGGCCTTTTGGTGGCTAATTGGAAATAAGCATCTCATTGACTCTGTGTAGTCCAGGTTGGCTTTAAACCACAATCCTCAGATCTCAGCCTCCAGAGTAGTTAGATTACAGGCATAGGCCTCCAGAGCCTGTCCAAAATTGTTTTTTTTCTAATACCATCAAGCCTTTTGAAAAGGGAAGGTGTTTTACAATGTTAAACATTAACTGACATTAACTCAAAAGGGATCATTCTTTCTGCTTTCTGTTCTCATTTTCCTATCTTTAACCATTTAATTACCCTTTTGTACTTTTCCACTTTTTTTTTTTTTTTTTTGCCAGTCCTGGAACTTGAATTCAGGGACCTGGGCACTGTCCCTGAGCTTCTTTTGTTCAAGGCTGGCACTCTACCACTTGAGCCACAGTGCCACTTCTAGCTTTTTCTGTTTATGTGATACTGAGGAATCAAACCCAAGGCTTCATGCATGCTAGGCAAGCACTCTACCACTAAGCCACATTCCCAACCCTTGTATTTTTCCACCTTTTTACCACTGAATTCTAATGTTGAATTCCTTTTTCCCTTAATAGACAGATGTACAGAAGATTTTAAGAAATGCAAGGAAACTCCCTGAAAAAACACAGACATTCTATAAGGTGAGACTGCAGTACAGTAGAAAGTGCTCCAGAAGCGCGCCACGTAGATGGTCCTCCATCAGGAGAGTAGGGGTGGGGGTGGCAGCTGGAATATGGGCAAGGATCACATGGGAAGCTTGTACCCAGTGTTAAATCAGTCCGTAGATGGGGAAGGTCCGCTTGTGCCTCACCATCCAAGAATGGAGGGCTTCTCCATGTTGGAACCGCCATGAATAGTGAGCCCTTACTTCTCTTGTACAGAGATCCAGTCCCACCCAGGCCAGCACTAGGTGGAGGACTGGGGTGGGGAACTGCCCAGAACCTTCTGTGTGCACCTGAGAAGCCACTTCCTGAAAGGACTTCCTATTACTCTAGTGAATTCCTGAGTAGACGGCTGTCCACAGCCATTAGGGGAATTGTCTGGTGGAGAGGCTGAAGTGAACAGGGATGTGGCGGCAGGGAATGCAGTTACACTTGCATCTCATTTCTCCTCGTCCTTGTGGAGGCTGGCAGAAATGAGATTCAGTGCGGTGTGAGGTGCCCTTGACTAGTCATAAAACATGGCAAAACATGGCACACCACCAGCCTCAGGCTAGCATCTCTTCTGAGAACATACAAAGCTACTATGCCTGGGGTTTTATCTCATTGCCTTTATTTACTATTATCTTCAAACCCAATTATGTAAGCTGGGAAAGCAAGCAAATGTACAGCTTGCTTGGGGGGTTTCTGGGTTGTTTTTTGCTTTTTGGGTTTTTTGTGATGGGGCTTGAATTCAGAGCCTGGGTATTGTCCCTGAGTTTTGCCAAAGACTAGTGTTCTATAACTTTGAGCCACAGATCCACTTCCGGTTTTCTGGTAGTTAACTAGAGATGAGTCTGATGGACTTTTCCTGTCCAGGCTGGCTTCCAACTGTGATCCCAGATTTCAGCTTTCTGAGTAAGTGAGATTATAGGCATTAAGGCATCAGCGCTCAGATGTTTTGTTTTGTTTTTTATTATTGTGAAAATACTGTACAGAGGGGTTACAGACATGGGCAAGATAATGAGTACATTTCTTATCAAGCATTGTAGCCTCCTCCTTTGTTTCTCCTTTCCATCCCTTCCCATCCTCCCACCCGCCACCCCCCCCCCAATCCTCCCCTGTTTTGTTGGTTTAAGACAGGAGGTCTCACTATATAGCAGAGACTAGCCTTAGACTCACAATCCTCCTTCATTACCCTCCTGAGTGCTGGGATTATAGCTGTGTGTCACCACACCTGGAAGAATGAATTGCTTTCATCAAGTTTAACCAGGGAGCCTCTGGGTCACCTGGCCTCTCCCCAGTCCACAGGCCCTTACCAGCCATCTCGGCAGTTTTCCATCCAGACCTGTCAGCTGTCTTATTTAAGGTGGGCACACATGTTCAGTGGCCTTTTCCTAACTTGTCACCTTTTAGTAGAGAAGTGGTCAGCTAGCAACGGCCCCTGCAGTGGTTATGTGTAATGTGTACACGAGGTCTAAGACCAGAGGCTTCCCAACTCTCACAGACCCCTCTGCTACCCAGCCTTGCTGAGGAGTCTGTCCAGCCCAGCTCCTGCAGACAGGTGCATTGTCACTGCAAGGCGTGGAAGGTTCCCAGCCCCCTGGCAAGTCTTCGCCAGCCTTGAAGATAGACAAGAACCAAGTCTTCATGTAGTGCCCAGTAGATGATGTACACACACTGCTCATCACATTTGGCTCACAAACCTCCTCTCGCTGCCCTCTCCTGGACCAGAACCACTGGTCCCCACACTCAGATTACTGGTGTCTCTATGTACATACATGTTCTCCTATAAAAATGCCCCCCAAATCGGGCGCTGGTGGCTCATACCTGTAATCCTAGCTACTAAGAAAGCTGAGATCTGAGGATCGCAGTTCAAAGCCAGCCCAGGCAGGAAAGTCCATGAGACATTTCCAATAAACCACCAGAAAACTGGAAATAGTACTGTAGCTCAAGTGGTAGAGCTCTAGCCTTGAGCTGAAGAGCTCAGGAACAGCACCCAGGCCCAGAGTTCAAACCACATGACCGACAAAAAAAAACAACTTTCCAAGCCAGACACTGATGGCTACTGCCTGTAATCCTAACTACTCAGGAGGCTGAAATCTGAGGCTCATGGTTCAGAGCCAGCCCTGGCAGGAAAGGATCTCCAATAACTATTCAAAAAAAGCCAAAGTGGCACTGTGGCTCAAGTGAGCCACAGTGAGAGAGCACTAGCTTTGAGCAAAAGCAGCTCAGAAACAGCACCCAGGCCCTAAATTCAAGTTCCAGGACTGGCACCAAAACCAAAACAATGATCCCTAAAAGGTGAGGTCAAAGAGCTTACTCTGAGCTGAGCACTGAAAAGGGAGGCAGCGAGGACATGAGGGCTGCTTCTGTTGCAGGAGCTGAACCGATTACGAAAGGCTGCCCTGGCCTTTGGCTTCCTGGACCTGCTCAAGGGCGTGGCAGACATGCTAGAGCGGGAATGCACACTGCTGCCTGACACGGCGCACCCCGATGCCGCTTTCCAGCTCACCCACGCCGCCCAACAGCTCAAGCTGGCTAGCACCGGCACCTCTGAGTACGCCGCGCACGACCACAACATCACCCCGCTGCACACAGACTTTTCGGGGAGCAGCGCAGAGAGGATGTGAGGCCTGCCTTGGACCTTCCTTGCCTAGCTCATATTTGAACAGAAAAGCCTAGCCTTTCCCGTGTGGTCCCATGGTGGGGAGGAAGGGCTCAAGGCTTGGGCTTGGGCCCTGGCCCTGTCAGTAGGCCTGGAAGATAGTCCTGGTTGCTCTGAGAGGAGCACAGCTCCTGAAAAGCAAGGACAAGACAAGCACTGAGCCCCTACCTTCTTGGCCAACCTGCCCACAAGGATTCTCTGGCTTGTGAGTTCCAGAACTTTCTTTAGAACTCGGCAAAATGCGGTGGTAACCCTTAGGTGCTTTTGGTAACAGTAGCCATGTGTGTAAATGATTCTTGTTTCTTCAAGTTTTTTTTAAAAACTGAAGTAAAATATGTGGTTTTCTATAGCATGGTTTCACGGAGGAAAGTGTGCTGTCACTTGACTCCAGCTCTGTTTCCTCATGTTCATTTCTAAGGCTTGTGCTTCCCTGGTCTCTAGCACAGACCTGCCTCAAACTTGGGCAAGCCAGGACTTCTGGGCACCTCCTTTAGCACCCCCTTTTCCAGCTCCTCTATACTTTCATCGGGAGTGCTCGAGCAACTGCTTCCGTTAGCAGACACAGCACTGCCTGAACAAAGGACTTTAGCCTTTTCAAAAATATGACCCGAAATCATCTTCAAGCACAAGCAGTCAGAATTTTGATTGTAAATGTTTTAATAGAAATACACAATCTTTCACTTTTTCAGACAGCAATAAAGGGGAAGGATCTTAACACTCGCAAAGAATACAGGATTTTGTCACAAGGACTCAGCGAAATCCATTGCAAAGCTGATAAGCCCGATCACAGAGCTGAAGGACAGCAGGAATCAAAACGAACAAGTGCTGACAGGAGTTCAGACGTGCCAAGCACCCTTCCCTGCCAGGTGCCATGAACTTTTCAAGTAACAGCCAGTGTATGCCCATCACTAATCAATGGTTTAGGTCACAGCAGGCTTCCGGGTTAGGCTCAGTGGAACAGGACAGTTCAGCAAGTCTCCTTCCCCCAAGAACAATGGGGATGGCAGGAGAGAGCTACCAGGCCCTAACTCCTCGGACAAGTGTTACTTCTAACACTTTTATTTGGTCTACATGGAATGTACTGGAGGAATCTGATTTGTTTTTTTTACTATAATGTCTAGATTTTCTCAGGTGTCTTTTGGTGGGTTTCCTGCCAGAAATCCTTGATAAGGACCAGCTGGTTGTTCCCAAAGTTCCTGCTCTGTGTCCTACTGCAGACAGGTTAAAAAAAAAAAAAAAGCTAGTGTTTTGAGGTTCAGAAAATGCATTGTGTGTGCCACTTCTCAGACAAAAAAGTACTCAAGTAGGGACTGAGCCTGAGAGACGCAGCCTGGCGGCATGAGCACGTCTAGCCTCGGACCTTTCCCGTCTGCCAGGCTGCACTGCCAGCAACTGATTCCTGCCAGTGTAGCCTAGGGACGCTCGTAATCTCACGAGAGCTTCTATGTTATAGCCCCTCTTTGTCTAGTGTTGAAAGGAGTTCAGTTTTAGCTAGGAAGGAAGTGATCACAGTTCTGATTGGTTTCTCTTAATTCGCTTGGCCTTGTCCCTGCCCACACAAGTAAGCACTGCAGTGACAGATGTGGTTAGGCCAATAGATGTTAGATGTTCAGTGTTCCCTAGAAACGTCCATAACACTCCACTACTAAAGGATCCCCTCAGATACAGTCCTGCCCCAGTCATTTCCAACGGCCTTCTGTGGAGTAATAGACTTTTTTCACAAAAAGCGAGAGCTGACTAGCGCAAATCCTAACTGCAAGGATGCGCAAAGCCTTGGAGGGCGAGGGCCTCGGAGCCGTCCCTGGCGTGTACATAACACACTGACAAGAAGCAGCCAGGGTGGAGGCTTCGTTGCCATTAAATACACAAGAGTGAACCTGTTGTCAGAGATGAGGATCTGTGTCATGCAAGTCCTACAACTAACAATACAGCAAATTCAGGAATGTTACGGGGAAAGAAGAAAGATGGACTCACTGAAAATGTGTTTGAACTTTAAAAAAAAACTTACATCAGTACCAGATAAAACAGTAAGAATCACAGATGAGGCTCAAACTTGCAAGAAGCTGTCTATCTGAGTCTCCTCAGTGGATCTTCTTCTTTTTTTGTCCATAGCGCCTCCTGCGCTGTTTATAAAGGTGACGGAAATTTATGTACAACCCTGAGAAGAGAAAACAGGTGGTCAGAATTGCAAACCTTGTCCATCCAGTGTAAGTGGAAGCACAAGAGTGGGCCTCAGTACCTGCCCTCGAGACAACACAATTCCATTAATATTATCCATTTAAGGGCTGGAAAGGTGGCTCAGTGGTAGAGCGCTTGCCTTGCATGCTCAAGGCCCTGGGTTCGATTCCTCAGCACCACATAAGCAAAAAGAAGCCGGAAGTGGCGCTATGGCTCAAGTGGCAGAGTGCTAGCCTTGAGCTGAAGAGCTGAGGGACAGCGCCCAGGCCCAGAGTTCAGGCCCCACGACCGGACCCAAAAAAAAAAAAAATATTCTCCATTTAAAAGTCTGTATAATTTTAAAACAAAGGTAAGATCTTTAAGACATTTTTACTATACCATATCACCTAATCTACTCATCTAGGCAGTTCAACTCGGTGCAGACACAACACACTTCACCCTACCTGTGTCAGCAAGCACAGTTCAATACTTTTTCCCCCTTGTGTATTAACTCAGAAGTGAGAGAATAACTTACTACACGGCTACTCAAGAGCATGTATTAAGCAACAATCTAAAAGGTGTTAAGACACAATTCAGTGACAGGAAACTGGATTTCAGTGTCAGACACAAATTGTATCATGTGATCACTGAGTAGGTTGTAGCTTAGCCTTACCTCAAATTTTTATTTATTTTTTATTTTTTTTGGGGTCCAGTTTTGGGCCTGAACTCTGGTCCTGGGCGCTGTCCCTCAGCTCTTCAGCTCAAGGCTAGCACTCTACCACTTGAGCCACAGCGCCACTTCCGGCTTTTTTTCTTTTTGCTTATGTGGTGCTGAGGAATCGAACCCAGGGCCTCAGGCATGCAAGGTAAGCACTCTACCACTGAGCCACCTTCCCAGCCCTCAAATTTTTATTTTATAAACTGTGAAAAAAATGAATACATGTTAAAAAAAAAAAAAAGTTCTGCCGGGCGCCGGTGGCTCATGCCTGTAATCCTAGCCACTCAGGAGGCTGAGATCTGAGGATCATGGTTCAAAGCCAGCCCAGGCAGGAAAGTCCGTGAGACTCTTATCTCCAATAAACCACTAGAAAACCGGAAGTGGCGCTGTGGCTCAAGCGGTAGAGCACTCGCCTTGAGCTGAAGAGCACAGGGACAGCGCCCAGGCCCAGAGTTCAAGCCCCACGACCAACAAAAAAAAAAAACGATTTACTTCATTTTGAAGAGTAAGAACTATACTAAATATTACAAATTAACAGTGTGCACTAATATAATACAAAGGTACCAGGCGACTGTGCGCTGGCATAGTTCTATCCCAATTTCTATCCCCATTTCCATCCAAAGTATCTTCCCAACATTTCCTTCACCTTCCCACATGCCCTGTGCTGCTTTGTGCTGACAGGAATACTGGACTGCACAGTGAGCTATGAGATAAACAATTCCCAAATAGTGTACTTCACAAGCTCAAGAAGTGTTTCTATACCATATCCAAAAACAGATTCACATTTTTGGTGAGAAATCCTTCTGGAATGAATACACCCTGTGCTGAAGTAGGAAACCAGGAAAGTTAACCTTGCTCATCCCCTGAGGGAGTAGATCTTCTCTCCAGTACAAAGTGACCAGGACGCCAGCTTTCTGGCTTCACGCTCTGGGACTCCCAGCCTCCACATGCCGGGTATTTCCTGTACATTTTCCTCCAGCACTGGGCTGGAGCACTGGGTCCCTTCTGAGATTACATTCTGTTTCTGATCACCTGCTCGGGGGGCTACCCAGGAATGGGACCACAGCAACCAGAGTGAGCTGAACACACATCCCCCACTTGCCAGCCTGACTGGAGTCCCAGGAGAGACCTGGAGCTAGAACCATGGACTGCAATAAAGGTTTGCAATTTTTTGCTACTTAATTAAGCCTTGTGATAATTTGTTATGAACCCAGCAATAACTAATATATATAGGCTGCTGTAGTGCATTTCTGTAGCCCAGGCTGGCTCCTACTCTGTTGTCAAAGCATTTCTAATGCTGTTTGAGGCTGTGGTAGACAACTCCTGGTAGGTCTGGTTTTTGTTGTGTAAATCTTCTCTAAGGCTATGTACTCTTCCAGAAAAAGGTAGGACACTTAAAACTCTAAACCATTCAACAGGAAAAAACATCTATGTCACCGAGAAAATACTTACCTAAAAATAACATTATAAGATAAACCTGAAGGAAAAAGGAAAATCGAACTTTGATTTTCACAGGATATGGCAATGTGAAACTGAATCTTCCTGACTCATTAAACACAGGAATGGACTGGATCACGGAGACAGCTGCAGACAGAGAGAGAGCTCATCAGCCGTGTGGGACACAGGCCTGCCCAGCCCCAGCTGCCTGCCCAGCCCTCAGCAGGAGGGCTGGAGGCTCTTCCTTCGCCCGCCCCTTCAAAGCAAAGCTTGGGCCACTGCTTTCCTCCCCAGGTCCTGAGGTTCCCAGGCTGTCCACTGAGAGGAGCAAGGACAGGCATGGCACCGGGAGAGGAATCATACCAGAATTCACTGGGTGTGGATCAGAATAAAACAAACACACTACTCCTAAGAACTCCTAAGAGCATACCATACATGACCCCCCCAGCTGCCAAACCTTATAGCAGCTGTCTCTGGAAGAGCCAGAGACATGAGGGAAAGAGGGTGCAAGGAAGAAATCCTGAGAAGTCCAATACCCTAGATAGCAGACTAATACCCTAGTCATCAGGCTCAGGCTGGCAAAGCTGAAACCACTGTTCTCTTAGCCACTGGGCAGCCTTGGAGCCTTGCTATGAGATCTTGTTTCTGAAAATACCTTCTGCCAAACATCCCAGAGGGTAGATGGGAATCCACACGGTGTAGCGAAGCCAGGTGAGTACCTTCCAGTCCATGTCGATGCAAGTGAGCATGTAGAAGGGGTACCTGACAGGAACAGGGATGCCAGTGTGAAACTGTCAGGGTTCGAATGCAACCCTACAGTACCATGGATGTGTGTGGCTCATGCCTCTAATCCTAGCTACTCAACAGACGCAGATCTGAGGATTGCAGTTTGAAGCCAGCATGGCGGGAAAGTCCCTGAGACTCCAGTTAACCAGCAAAAAGTCAGAAGTGGAGTTATGGCTCAAATGGTGAGTGCCAGCTTTGAGTAAAAAAGCTAAGGGACAGTGCTTAGGCCTCGAGTTCAAGTCCCAATACTAGCACACATGTGTGTGCACACATGCTTCTTTAGAACAGAATTTGAATCCTGGCTACCTACCCACTCCCATCAGGCTACTCTCCTTTACTGACAAAGTTGAGGTCTCAGGGAATTCCTATCAGCATGTGTAGCAAAACCTTTTTTTAGGAGAATGGGGGAGGTGGGGGAGAGGGGCAGTTTGAACTCAGGGCTTCTTGTCTGTTAGGCAGGTGCTCTACCATTTGAGTTACATCCCCAGCCATTTTGGCTTTGTTTTTACAGGTAGAATTTAGCATTTCTGCCTGGGCTGATTTCAAGACATTGATCCTACATCCTCTGTTGTGGCTGGGATCACAAATGTTTCCCACCATGCCCAGCATACTGGTTGAAAGGGGATCTTGCCAACTCTTTGCTTGCAGAAAATTGAGGTTCAAGCTGAACACCTGGCTCACTCCTGTGATTCTAATTAGTTAGGAAGCCAAAACCTAGAGGATCCCAGTTGAAAGCCAACAAAAACAGAAAAGTGTGTGATACTCCTTGTGGCTGTGGCAAACACTCCTAGTGGGTCTGGTTTTTGGTGTGCAAATCTTCTCTAAGTGTACATACTCTTCTCTAACCAGCAGAGGAGCTGGATAGGAGGCATGGCTTACGTGGAAGAACACCAGCTGTGAGGAAATCATCTAAGGAGAGCATGATGCTTTTGCTCTGAATGGCACACACATACAAGAAGGGTTGAGGTTTGGCCGCAAACCACAGTCCTCCCAATCTCAGCCTCCTAAATAGCTAAGATTACAGACAGGAACATGACTCCTGACTCTAAAAGAATTTATCTACTATCTAGTAAGCTACCTTGACCAATTCCATACAACATGAACTCTTCCTTCAATGTTGTATTT